TCCTCCAAACTTAACAAATATATTATTATCAAAAATTCAAGCATGAGGACAATGTCTTCTTCACTGTAAAAAGTGGTGGCATTAGTTTCATTCTTGACGAAATAAGTGGAATTGTAGTTTAGAACAATATATTTATATCGCCGAGAACCATTCTTATGAAAAAATGATTGATGAACAATATCTAAAATTGAATGTTTTAATAGACTTTATTTCAGATAAAGATCTAGATCAGAGTTTTTCCAAAAGTTCTTTAGAATTGTGCAATATCCACATGTGATTTAAACCAAATTAAATCTACCAAATTAATATGCAGTATTAATTTGTATAGATTTTCACCCAAACTAGATATACTGTCCTAAACGTATTGGACAAAAAAGATATTTTATTCAAATGATAAATTAAGATAAATTTGCATGAAAAACTAATCAGTATACTAAATAATTTCCCAAGCTCAAGTTGGGTGGAGCTCAGGTTGACTCTGAGGAAGCTCAGGGTGGAGCTCAAGTTGAAGCTCAGGGTGGAGCTCAGGGTGGAGCTCAAGTTGAAGCTCAGGGTGGAGCTCAGGTTGACTCTGAGCAAGCTCAGGTTGAAGCTCAAGATTGCCATTACATACCTCTAGCTGTAGCTTCCCCATTGAGTCAGTAGCACTCTCACCCTGAGTAGCTGTAGCTTCCCCATTGAGTCAGTAGCACTCTCACCCTGGGTAGCTGCAGCTTCCCCATTGAGTCAGTAGCACTCTCACCCTGGGTAGCTGTAGATTCCCCATTGAGTCAGTAGCACTCTCACCCTGGGTAGCTGTAGCTTCCCCATCGAGTCAGTAGCACTCTCACCCTGGGTAGCTGTAGCTTCCCCATTGAGTCAGTAGCACTCTCACCCTGGGTAGCTGTAGCTTCCCCATTGAGTCAGTGACATACTCACCCATGGTACAGTGGCTATGACCTCCGCATTGAAATATGGAAAATTGGTTTGAGACTGTAACACACGATGTCCTTGGATCTACTAACCCAAATTATTCAGCTATAATTTTCCAATGATAATTAGTTCTATTAAAAACTTCACAAGTACGTCCAATACTTACCCTGCTGAGAATATATCCATAGCAGGTGTCAATTCTCCCTTCTGTATAATTTCACTATCGGGCAGTGATTCTAACATCGCTGCCACTCCTTTCTCTATCTCAGTTAGTTGTTGTTGTTTACTTGTCACATCCACAAATCTCTCAGGAGCAATGTAACATGTTCTTCGTCGAGATGTGTCAAAAAAGAAATTGAAATCTGACGGATTGTTCTGAAATAAAAAAGCAGTTTCTATTATTTACGATGACGTATAATTAACTACAAATAAGGAATCAACCATTTGAAATTAAGGGGGGTAGAAGTGTGACCAGTGCAATTTTTTATTTCATGGTATCTTGAGAACGCCTCTTTGCATGCACTTTTTTTTCTGTGCTTGCATAGAAAGAAAGTGAGGTTATAGAAAGTACACAAATACAGCAATAACAGTTCATGTAATATTGCTAAAACATCAATGAATGTTTACAAATAAGTAAATATGCTAATAGGGGATTTTCTGTTCACATCAAGATCTCGCGTAATGCCTGAAGGTGTTTTTCTGCCACAAAAATTGATTTTCAACTCGAATTTCTTTTATTTATATTCATTGGCAAAATGCCTATCTTTCAGGGATATGCAAGGTTCTGCCCAGCCTGATTTGAGTGCTGGTTGCTAATTGATATTCATGATCTCATAAATATTCATGAGCTAATTAATATTCATTTCCATGTAAAATTAATTATATCATATGGTATTGAGATATCTTTACGTATTAAAATAAACCTCATTAAATGTGTATAGCACATTCTCAAGCATGGAAATAAAAAAAAAAATACTTTGTGTTTGTTGAATCCCATCTGATGTTTTAGCATTTGAATTCATGCACAATGCAGAGTTCCACAGTAAACTGAAAATGGTCTATTGTCAGCTCAACTGAACACTGAATAAATATAGGTCTCATGCATGCATCAAGCCTCACCACATTATCATACAGTGTTTTCTCATACGATAATGATGTATAACACTAAAAAGACCACAGCTATATGAAGAAGTTTCAAAACTCATCCCAAATTTTATGAATCAAGATAAAAAAAAAATTATTTTGATAATGAATAAGACATTAGTATTGAAAAAGTTATGGTTGAATTTATTAAATGCAACTGTTTTATTTTGAAACACTAGATGTATGATTTTAATTATTCTAGAATCATCTAAAATCAAACTTACATCTGGCAGGTATGTTGGTTTGAAACTGGCAAAATCGGTCAACAGAACCCAATTCCAGCTTGTTACCATAACATTCTCTGTTTTTATGTCGCCATGACAAACCTATAACATCCAAACAAACAAAAATATTACATTATCTAAAAAAAATAATTTATAATATCAACGTATTCATTCATTGCTGAATTCACTTCTCGACATTATAATACTAACACATGTATACTAGCATAAAACCATTACCCAGCATGCAATGCTATAATATATTGTACGCTGTGTAGGGGTTAATTAATTCCTGGATTTTATTTTAACTTATTTCACTGGTAGTTAAACACATTAAATTATAATAAGGAAGTTCGAGCTTAAATGGAAGATTTTATGTCATGTCATCATATTTTTATTGTTATGGTTTATGTGAACTGGATATTATAAATAAAAAAAAGAATTGGGGACAAGAAAAATGTCATAAGAAATGGTATGGTGATATTACTTCTTCATACATGTATATATTATGAATTATGGTTTGAATAACATGAATCTTAATATTGTGAAAATTGACAAAAAATTTAGTGAGTTTCCAGGATGATACTAGTTTTCCATTATATACAATAGGAAGTTCGCTATCATAATGTATTTTATATACCGGTATGTGAAGTAACATGCTCAGTAGTGGTAAATTTTATTTTGCCTCAAACTGCATTTGAAACATTCAAACCTAACAATAGAATACATCGTTTCTTAATCCTAAACCTGTGAATTTTAAAGTTGAAATGTTGTTTTGTGGACAAAAATGGCCACCAGTATGTCAAAGGTCAAGAAAATGAAAAATATATCAACATTGTAAGTATACATGTAAGTACACCATTAAGTCTTGCCCTTGCACCTGCTGTGCATCAGTTGATAAGTGGTATTTCACATTTGCATAATAACTTCATAACATATTTAGAAATAATCATTTATACCTTTACTCTGTGTGCTTGGTCCAATGCACAAAGCAGTTGAAATGCAATCCACTTTTTTTCCACGCTGTTAAGGAACGGTCTAGTACTGATTCTGTCATACAAGTTACCACGTACATACTGTCTGAACAGTAAAGCTGCTTTATCTGACAACTGTTTAAAAAAAGAAACAACATGCAGTATATTTCTGTTTGAATTGACTTGAGTTCCACTGGTTGATACATATGGTATTCAACAACCACTTTGCTTGGCTGCATAGCATGGGGTTGTGAAAATAATCAGCCATAATACAACTGAGCTTATCTGTGATAATGGGGGTATGGTGTTTTAGCTGATGAAATAAAAGTTTGTTTTTTTGCAATTATGGTTGGAAAATGGTACCTGTAAAGCTTTTGAAAAACGCAAAACAAAGTCGCATTCAACACTGAGCTGTGTTTACTAGGCACAAAACGTCACATTTTTGATATGCAGGGAGTCGCCACATAGCCTTGTTAGCGAACACAACAAAACGCCCCAAAAATGAATTGTTTGATGAGGCACTTAAGAATGATTTCCTTAGCGAACGTACCACAGGATTAGTGAGAATTGTTTTGCTGAGGGTAATGGGAGGAATATAAAAAAAAAACTAAAGATTAACTAATTATAAATACAGCTGACTAAGGTTTATGAACCAGAATTTATAGCAAAAACATTCCAAAGCTATATCATTTTCTGATCCAAGTAAAATTTATACTCACTGTACTTCTTTGGAATGGCAAGCAATTTGGAGCACTCAATAGTTTGGATTTGATATCCTCTACTTTGTCTTTGTGTGGTTTGATTGGCAGTGATGGATCATGGATTGCAAACACTTTGACAACAGCCAAGCCTTCTCTAAAAGAGAAAAAAATATCGGATATCTAATGAGTGATTTATACATCGGATTTATTGAACAATATATAAGTTTCAAGCCCTTGGCAAGAAACGAACTTCAACATGAACTTCAATATTTCCTCTTTTGGTAGCATACATGTATGCGATTATGTATGGTAATTGACATTGTGTGTATGGTCAAAATGAGTAATACATACATCTCAGTGAAGAACCTATGATCCAGAATATAATACATGCAATTATTGCTTTACAGGCATTTTATAGGAAATGGACTTCTTGTATACGATTACGAATACTGCATATGATTTTATGTGACATATGATTTCAAGATTTTTATGACCAAACGTAACATCAGAATCATATTTTGTGTGCAATCAGACATTAGCATGTACTGGTACTACTGTGAAATACTTTATTTTAGCTGGAATAAATTTTAGCCGAAAAGACTTTTGGGAGTTTTGTATGGAATTTATTTTCACTGATTTTTGATGAGTTGAATGTACGAGGAAATATAAGGAAAAAAGGTATATTCGCTGGATTTTATTTTGAATGAATCATTCCTTCAGTGAAAATTAATTCCAAACAAAAATAAAGCATTTCACAGTATCTCATTTGCATAGTGACATAGTGATAGTGGCAGATGATGGGAAATTGTAAATATATCAATAGTTTTACTTGATATACATCTTTTTTTGTTTTATACATTTCATACATGTTTTGGTTACAGTAGCGCCAAACCTGAAAGTAGTCCGATACCATATGACAAACCTGTTATGATATAAAATTTATGAAATGCATATCACCATAGTGATATCATGTCAACATTTATGATGAATAAAATTATCAACTAAATGCACAATTTTTTAAACATAAATTGATAAATAACTACAAGTTAATTGTTCTTACTTGTACTTGGCTTTGGCAACTTTGAAAAATCGGGTGCTACCAAGATTACAGTCATATTCATAGTCAGTGACATCAGTTAGATAATTGTCAACACTGAGTATCTGAGAAGGAGCAATTCCTGCCAACTGATTACCCATAATGCTCTCTTGTACAGGTTATTCCATTCCTGAGTTTACATTACTGAAAATTCAAAATACAAATCAATTATTATCTTAGAGGTATATTTTTGTTATTATCATTCCTTTTTAAAGTTGCATGCTGAAATTTATACACATGTACATTCATTGTGGCACTATTATGTGAAATACTGTAAAATATTTTATTTTTTCTTGGAATTAATTTTCGCTATTTTCCCTGAAAATAAAATCCAGTGAATATACCTATTTTCCTATATTTTGCATTCAACTTGTCAAAAATCAGTGAAAATAAATTCCACACGAAACACCCAAAATGTCTTTTAAGCAAAAATTAAGTCCAGCTAAAAATAAAGTATTTTACAGTATTTGATGGTGTGAATATGCATGTATTGCAAAAAATATTTGCTGATATAGCAGCCTGCAGTAATACCATATAAGGATGAAACTTTATGAATCCATACATAACAGTACTCGCAAATGCAATTCAAACACATATAAGCAAACGGAAACCTGAAAAAACAGATTGTCGACGGAGATATCTCCGCTGTTAGCAATGCACATTTTGATTAAAGAACTGAAGATATCATTAGAAAATGAACAATATGTAAAAAAAATTGAAAATAGCAGTTTTTTACCAAAAATGACAAAAAATACTGTAAAACATGTTTAAATAGCTACATGAATATGCCATTTTAGCAAATTTGACTCCATGCATGAATTATTAACTGAATCTTAATTTAGCTAAACGGTTAACAATCTCATTGTGAGAATATACTTTATTTTAAATTAGTGACATCTTGAATTAGCGAAATTACAGATTTATAGCTAAATTAGCTGAAATAATATGCTAGCTAAAAAGACATTTTTTACAATATTCACTAAAATTAAGAATTGAAGATATTGTCACGAAATAAACAAATCTGAGAAAGGCCTACGCAAGGTATATATACTGGTATATATACAATCTATATACCATATAGACCGTTTTCAAGAAGAAGCCGAAAATGTGAAGTTGGTGAATGACAATGATGATGATGAACGACGGACATTCTAATGAAGCAGAGCTAAAAATAGGGTAGGTAGGCATAGTTAAATATATCTTTTTTCTCCACAGACATGTTACAATATTGATCAGACGAGGTAAAATATGGCAGAAGACATGGCAGTAATTTCAAAATACAGAGTACATTGCACATTACCGATTTTGTTATCCACATGATCACATTTTCCAATGATATGGAATATACCCTGATTGATGGCAGTATATATTAGCATGAAGGTATAATCAGTTTATACCTCCATGATACTAGGAAGCATTGGAAAATGGTTTGATTGAACATTTTCATTAAACTTGCAGCAGAATTTGACATACTATTTCTTAATAGAGCACACTGTTCGAAGATTCAGCGCTGTATTTGTGCGACCTGCTTGCAATAGTTTCCTGTGAAAAACTGTGGCGTTTAATCTTTCAGAGTTGACTAATAGAAGATGTCAAAATAAGCAGGATAATCTAATCAGAAATCTAATAATGTTTTTTTTGTTTTGATCACATGAGTGTCAATTTATTATATAACATCATATACTTTCTATTCAGTTAACTGTGATCACAGTCTCTTTATAATGAACACGATTTCAAAACTTCCCACATACAATGCACAGCATTACAGCTGACTGTGTCAATAAACAGGAATGGTGTCAATGAATGTAGAGTTACAGGCATAATGTATATCTACAATACAGGATTATGCTCCAGATGCTCTATCAACTTTGATGCACAGCATGTGAAACAACAATTTTGATTTAGGTAATGCTATTATGTGTAAAATCATCATATGAAAATTTGTGCTTACAACTGGTTTTTAATCCGTGTCGAAAAC